GAGATAGGGGAGAGATGGGGAGAGATGGGGAGAGATGGGGAGATATGGGGAGATATGGGGAGATATGGGGAGATAGGGGAGATATGGGGAGATAGGGGAGAGATGGGGAGAGATGGGGAGAGATTGGGAGAGATGGGGAGAGATTGGGAGAGATGGGGAGAGATGGGGAGAGATTGGGAGAGATTGGGAGAGATTGGGAGAGATTGGGAGAGATGGGGAGAGATGAGACACGCATACCTGCCCATGCCGTCCGTTAAGGAGTGAGAATGGACTAGATTGAAGCGCGCACCCCGCGCCCAGTCATCATCCTCCGGCAGCACTACCATCCGCCATGAACCAATTTGGGGTCGGTGGCGGGACAACCAATCACGCGCACCCGCGCCCAATCACCACTGGCAGCACTACCAACCGCCATGAACCAATGATGCGTCGGTGGCGGGACAATCGATCACGCGCACCTGCAAATCTGCGCGGTCGAGATCGTGTCCCGCCTCGACTTCGCCCCAGAGGTCGGTCTGGTACCTAGCGGAGATGGGGGGAGATTGGGGGAGATTGGGGGAGATAGAGGTCGGTCTGGTACCTAGCGGATTTGGGGAGATGTGGGGAGCTTTGGGGAGATAGAGGTCGGTCTGGTACCTGGCGGTGTGAAATGGGGGAGATTTGGGGAGATTTGGGGAGATTTGGGGAGATGTGGGGAGATAGAGGTCGGTCAGGTACCTTGCGGCGTAACTGGGAGGATTTGGGGAGATAGGGGGAGATAGGGGGGGGGCGAGAGGTCCGCAGAGGTCTGGTCCTGCGGGGGAGAAGTGGGGAGATGCGGGGAGATTTGAAGAGATATGGGGAGGTCTTCCGCGTCTAGCGGCTTCGTACTGCTCGGCGACACGCGCAGCGACGCACACCTAGTGGGAGGTTCCTCGAGATTCCTCGAGATTCCCTAGATACCTATGAAGCGGAATCTCCCCATATCTCCCCATATCTCCCCATATCTCCCCATATCTCCCCATATCTCCCCATACCTCCCCATACCTCCCCGTGTCTCCCCGTATCTCCCCATATCTCCCCATATCTCCCCATATCTCCCCATATCTCCCCGTATCTCCCCATATCTCCCCATACCTCCCCATACCTCCCCATATCTCCCCATATCTCCCCATATCTCCCCATATCTCCCCATATATCTGGTACGCGCGCAGCGACGCACACCTCGCGCGTCCTCATCTCTCCCCACATCTCCCCATCTAATACCTCCCCATATCTCCCCACATCAGGTACGCGCGCGGCGATGCGCACCTCGCGCGCGCTCAGCCGCCGGCGATAGAGTGCGAGGGCCAGGACAAACGACTTGCACGACCCAGTCACCGAATCGAGCGCCGCCAGCGTCCAATCGTCGGCCGCGCCGAGGAGCCGCGCGGCAGCCGCAGCGGCAGCGGGCGGCTGCGGGGGAGATGGGGGATGGGGAGTTCACGGCGAGCTCTTCGCCCCGCGAGCGAGCACTTCCGAGACACTTCCGAGACACTGCCGCGACACTTCCGAGACACTGCCGCGACACGGCGGGCTCTTCGCCCCGCGAGCGAGCACGGCTGAAGAGCCGCCATGCAGTGTCGCGGCGGTATCTCGGAAGTGTCTCGGAAGTGTCGCGGCAGTGTCTCGGAAGTGTCGCGGCGGTATCTCGGAAGTGTCTCGGAAGTGTCGCGGCAGTGTCTCGGAAGTGTCGCGGCGGTATCTCGGAAGTGTCTCGGAAGTGTCGCGGCGGTATCTCGGAAGCGTCTCGGAAGTGTCGCGGCGGTATCTCGGAAGTGTCTCGGAAGTGTCGCGGCGGTATCTCGGAAGTGTCTCGGAAGTGTCGCGGCGGTATCTCGGAAGTGTCTCGGAAGTGTCGCGGCAGTGTCTCGGAAGCATCAAGTCTCTCGCGAATGTCTCGGCAGCGTCGCGGAAGTGTCGCGGAAGTGTCGCGGCAGTGTCGCGGCAGTGTCGCGGCAGTGTCTCGTCGGTGTCTCGGAAGCGTCGCGGCAGCGTCTCGGAAGTGTCGGAAGCGTCTTGAGAGCGGCTCACAAGCGCTACGCAAGCGTCTCGGAAGCGTCGCGGAAGTTTCTCGGAAGCGTCTCGCGGAAGCGTCTCGGAAGCGTCTCGGTAGTGTCTCGGAAGCTTCCTGCTCGACGACGAGGCTCGAGGTGGCGTTCAGCTGGACGCCCTCGGCATCCGCGAGCCAGGATATCAGCGGGTCGTACGCCGCCGCCTCCTTGGCCGCCAGCTCGGGTTCGTCCTCCGCGTCCGCCCGGAGCGCCACGACGTCTGTGTGCATCGTCCGCAGCATCGACGACGCCATCTGTGGCCGGATCGATGGCACCTGGTCGATGGACGTCGTGGCGAGCTTCATCAGCGGCATCGTGTACGGCTGGAGGAACTTGCCCTGCGCCTGCCACTCCATCGCCACCGCCCACGCCATCGCCTCGGTCGGCAGCTCGAGCGGAGACTTTGCGGGCGTCTGCAGCGCACGGCCGTCGAGCGTGACGGCCCAGCGCGCGGCGTGCGCGACGCGCTGCACGCCCACCGACTTGTACCATACCTTGATCCGGCTCTGCATCGAGAGGCCGCGGGAGGCGGAGTGCCGCGCCGAGTGGCGGGCCAAACTACGCTGTTTTTCTTCTTTTTATGACAATCGCAACCTTCGTCACAATGCCAACCGCGCGCGGCCGTCGACCGGCAAGCACACGCCTCGACTCGGACACAGTGTTCCGGGGGCAAGGGAGAGGGGCTGGCTCCTAGCCCGAGAGGAGAGCTTCCGAGACGCACTACGAGACCACGCACGCATCATCCCGCGGCCTGGCGGTCGGCGGGATTGCAATCAGTCTTCGCGTGCTGCCTGTCGTTCGCTCGGGCGCCTTGGGCGTCGGGGTGGCGAGCAGGGGACGCGGCTCTGAGCGACCAGCGACGCGTGCCGGATGGAGTCCGGCCGCGGGTGACTAGGGAAGTTCGCTCAGGATGTGTGGCAGTCAGTTTGGCTGAGTGTCTTGTCTTGTGGTTCTGTGTGTCGCTCCTGTGTGACCGTCATCGCCCGTCCTGCGTCCACCCATACCGCGTTGGTGTCCCAGTCGTTGGTCGGACTGTGTTTCGCCTTCCCATCAATCAATCTTGGAGCACTTGGTCAATCAATCAATTCTTTTCTTTGTGCGAGTCCGAGCCTCCTTCCTAATACGAATTTACTTTTCTTGGAGTGCGGCGAGCCCATCAGCAACGTTAACGAAGGAGTAATTAACCTACAACAAGTGTCATCTTTCTTCATCCGCGCGCCCTTGTGCAGCGTCCGCTATCTATCTGTCACTGCCCAGCGCCCCAGCCCCAGGCAGTCAGTCACCCCGCCCGTGTATCGCGCTGTCTGCGTGGCTGTGCGTCCAATAGTTCTACTCTGTCCAGGCGAATTGCTGTGCGCGTTGTCTATCTACTCTCCGACGTGAGGACCTCTCTCCATTGAGGACCTCTGGGAAGAAAGAGGTCCTCTGGCCTCAACGCACATCAGCAACGAATCGATTGTTCCTCCAGATGTAGGATGCGTGCAGCCGGCCTGTCTTGGCCTGGCGACGCGACCGTGTCGAAAATGGCTTGCTCAGAGGACACAGTGCTGCTTTGGCACCGAATTCGACTCTGACTGTGAGGGCTGTCAGTGGAGCATCTGTGAGGACCTTTGGGCTTTGGATTGTGAGGACCTCTTTGGACCCGAGGCCGAGCTGCAGGAGGTCACACATCAATTTGCGTTTTCTCGGCAGGTGATGAGTGTCTTCGTTGCACGTTGGTTAGCTCCGTATCCATGGACCATGCGGCTAATATCAACGCAGCTGCAGCAAGCACGAGTCGACAGACGAGATCGATAGGCCCTGAAAAGAGAGTCGAGATCGAGCTTGTATTGCGATAGAAGAAATTGAGAGTGGATTGTATTTTGTGCTCGATCTCTTTGTCTGAGAAAGTCGTGGGATTTTCCGTGTTCCTTTTTCTTTTCTTCGAGCAAACCGTAGGTAGGTAGAAAGGTGAAGAACAGCCAGGCTCGGACTGGACACCAACGCGGTATGGGTGGACGCGGGACAGATGATGACGACACGCACGAGCGACACACAGACACAAACAAGCTCACAAGACACACAGCCAGCTGGCTGCCACACACCCTGAGTTGGCGTACACATAACTCAGGGCCACATTCCTCCTGTCGCCCCCCCCAGCACTCCAAGGTGCCAAGAGAAACAAACAAGGGCACAACATCACAACAGACGACAGGAGGTAATATGCGAGGCTAGAGCAGGCTTGCTCGTCCTCTAGCAATCTCCGCCGACCGCGAGGCCGGACTAGACCGTGTGTGGGGTCATGTGAGGTGTCTCTGGTGACTGGTCACTAGCAAACCAAAGGTTCGAATAAGAGATTTGATTTCGCTGGGCCGCTGCCGTGCTCGCTGGTCCCTGCACAATGCAGCAGAACAGCAATTTTAACGCGAGGGAAGGCAGTTGGGTTTCTTTTAGTTTTTTTTGCGTCATGATGGCCTCCCGAAAGCGCGCCCGCACCGCCGGCGAAGGCGAGGAGGAGGGCGCGGCTGTGCCGGTCGCGGATGGCTTCGAGGCGCCCATCTTTGGCGCCCGCGTCGTCGGACAGGTCACCACGCTGGCGCTCGAGGGCGAGGACGGCCCTCTCGCATCGCTGCAGCTACGTGCCGTTGCAAGCGATCGCGCGGGCGGCTGGTACGTCACGACTGTGCACTCGCTGCTGCACGTGCCGGCGGCCGGGCGCATCCGCACCGTCGCGACCTGCGAGGATTGCCGCGGTATCGCCCTCAGCCCCAATGGTAGCGCGCTGTTTTTGGCGGACTACGGCAACCACAAGATCCTGCGGGCGGAGGTGGCGACGGGCGCGGTGAGCACTGTCGCGGGCAGCAGCGACGAGGATGGCGTGGGAGACGCGGCGCATCTCCACAAGCCACGCGGTATCGCCCTCAGCCCCGACGGCAGCGCGCTGTTTGTGGCGAACACGGGAAACCACAAGATCCGGCGGGTGGAGGTGGCGACGGGCGCGGTGACCACGCTGGCGGGCAGCACCAGGGGCAGCGCTGACGGCGTGGGCGGCGCGGCGCAGTTCCACAACCCATCTGGCGTCGCCGTCAGCCCGGACGGCAGCGCGCTGTTCGTGGCGGACCATTCCAACCACAAGATCAGGCGGGTGGAGGTGGCGACTGGCGCAGTGAGCACGCTCGCCGGTAGTGGCATTGCTGGCAGCGCCGATGGCGTGGGCGGCGCGGCGCAGAACAACAAGCCACACAGCATCGCCGTCAGCCCCGACGGCAGCGCGCTGTTTGTGGCGGACTTCGGCAACCACAAGATCCGGCGGGTGGAGGTGGCGACGGGCGCGGTGACGACTGTCGCGGGCACTGCTGGCAGCGCTGATGGCGTGGGCGGCGCGGCGCAGTTCAACTACCCAATGGCCCTCGCCATCAGCGCCGACGGCAGCACCCTCTCGGTCTGCGCAATGGGCGGCCTCCGCCAGGTCTGCGTGGCTGCGCCTCCTCCGCCTCCCTCCTTTGCGCCGATTGTGGTGCCGTCCTCGACCTTCTTTGCTGACATGAAGAAGATGCGGGGCAACGCCAGCCTCCCCACCGGCCTGGTCACCTTCATCGTCGGCGATGACGAGGAGCGCATCGAGCACGTGAGCAAGAACCTGCTCTGCGTGCGGTCCGAGTACTATGGGAAGATGTTTGGCATCGGCATGAAGGAGCGCGACGCCGCCGAGATCACGGTGCCCAAGACGGACCTCGCCAGCTTCACCGCCTTCATCGACTACCTCTGCACCGACCAGCTCGACCTCGGCGAGCTGGAGGGCGAGCAGGCGCGGCGCGCGCTCGTGCTGCGGGAGCTGGCGCAGATGTACCAGGTGCCGCGCCTCGAGCTGCTCTGCGCGCAGGCGCTGCAGGAGAGCGTCGGGCCGGCGAGCGCCGTGCCGCTGCTCGAGGCGGCGCACACGACGGGCGACGGGCGGCTCCTCGCGCAGTGCCGCCGCTACGTGGCCGACCACGCCGCCGAGGTGCGGGCGAGCGGCGGCGTGGAGCAGCTGCGCGACCTGGGCGTGGCCAAGGGGCTGCTCGGCGACGCGCTCGACCAGGTGGCGGAGCTGAAGATGGGGGCGGCGCGCACGGCCGCGGGCCAGAGGGCGGCGCCCGCCTAGTGTCTGGATAGCGCGATCATCGCCTTGAGGCAGCCTCGCCTCTCCGCACTCCACGGCCCTTTGTGGCTTGTGGTGTGGGCGCGCTTGGCAGGGTCTCGTCGTGTTCACACATCGTTCACGCATTTCGGATGTCGCATCGGACTTCTCTGGTTCTCATTTTCACATTCTGCCCGGCATGCATCTCAATCAAATCTCAGGGGTGCGCCGTGTGTATAACGGACACGTGGCACTGGAGTTTAACCTGGGTCCTGGCCGCGCCCGTTGGGTCCGTGAGCCGCGCTCTCAACCCCTGGTCAACCGAGGCGCGAGGGTCCTTCCCCTTTACCTTTATAGCGACTACGAGATCTCGTTTGCTTTATGCATTATGGCGTTTGAGGGGGGGGGGGGCGACTTCGTCTCTACCGAAAGCATGCGAAAAGCGAGACGATAAAGCCGGACCCCCCACTCGTTCCAACGACTCCGTCTCCCCACACCGCAAAATGTAAATATGGGGCGGTTTCCGTTGAGACGCGGTCGGGGCCCACGCACAGGCCCACGCTCTCTGTCTGCGAGTTTGGCTCTTTGGCAGGGTACACCGTCCACCCAGTAGCCAGTTTCAACGTGCGTGCACCTCACTGGCGGGTCGAGACCGTCCGACGCCCTCTGCCGCGCAAGCGGGCCCGACACCGTGGTCCACGCGCGGCCCACTGCGCCTCCTGCGTCTACGCCTCGGCCCGCTACGCCTCCTCGGCCTCGTCCGCCGCTTGGTCGACCTGCATCGAGCCTGCCTCCGCCGCATCGGGAGCACGGCTGGACTCGCCTCCCTCGCCGCCGCCCCCATCTCCGCCACCGCCTTCGACGTCGCCACCCTCCCCACCGCCGCCGCCTGCGCCGCCGCCTGCGCCGCCGCCGCCCTCGCCGCCGCCCTCGCCGCCGCCCTCGCCGCCGCCCTCGCCGCCGTCGTCGCCGCCGCCGCCGCCGCCGCCGCCCTCCTCCTCCTCCACCTCCTCCTCGCCCGTCAGCTGCTGGATCTTTTGGCGCGCCTGCGCAGCGAGACGCAGCGCATTCTCGCGCTCGCCGCCGGCCACCGTCGCCTTTGCAATCTTCTCGAAGCGGAGCAGCCGCGCGCGCCACTTTGCGACCTCGCGCCCCGACGCGTCGCCCCGCGTCACGTTGTACGACAGCCACCACTGCTCCGGCTCGGCCGCGCCTCCGCCCGCCGCCTTGTCCGCAGCACGCCGGCGCATCTCCTCACGCTCGCGCCCCTTGCGCTCTCTCTCTTCGTCGGCGGCCCGCTCCGCCTCCTCCTCCGCCTCGCGCGCCCGCCGCAGCCGCTCCTCCTCCTCCGCCCTTCGCAGCAGGTCCTGCTCGTCGAACTTCTCCGCATGCTCGCTCATCGCCGCCTGCACCTTGCGCATGTGCTTGCGCATGTGCACCGGGTTGAGCGGCACCTTGAACCGCTGCAGCTCCGCCTCCGAGGGGGCATCGTTGGACAGCGTGTCGAGCCCGGCCAGGCGCGTGCCGACCGACGTGCGCAGCTGCAGCGACATCTCGACCAGCTTCTTGCCCAGCCGGTACGGCCGCGGCGCCCGCTTGGTGGCGATGACCAGACCGACGTAAAACGACTTTTGGCCGTTGAGCCGCTGCACGCACCGCACGAGCGAGTCGACCGCCACGCGATTGAACGCGCGCGTCTCGATCCAGACCTCCGCGTGCCGACGCGGCATCACGAGCGCCCTCAGCTCGTCCGCCGACAGCGCCGTCTCCCGCGCCGTCTCCCGCGCCTCCGTCGCCTCGCGCTTGCGCCGCTCCTTCTCCGACGCCTCGCGGGCCGCCGCCGCTTTGGCCGCGGGGCCGCGCTTGGCCTCGGTCGCGTACGCGTCGCGCAGCTTCTTGGTCGGAAGCGCCTCCAGCGGGTAGACCGCCTTCTTCTCGTACGCGCGCCACGCAAAGAACTCGTGCGGCCCGAACCCGCCGTCGGGCCGCTCGTCGAGGAGGTGGACGGCGCACGGGCGGAGGACGCAGTCGGAGTGGTTCTCGTCGAAATGCAGCGAGAAGAAGAGCTCCGACGGCGCCGCGGTGAGCGTGCCTCCCTCGTACTTGACCTTGCCGCTCGCTCCGGCCATCTTTGCGTACTCGTGGACGTCGCCCTCGCGGTAGTACCAGCGCGCGTTGAAGTAGACCTCCGACGAAGCAAACGAGTAGACGAAGATCTCCTGCAGTCGCGCGACGTAGGGCACGTCGGCGCCGTTCTCGAGGTAGCAGTCCTGCCCGACCTCGTACGTCTCCTCCCCCTTCTGCATCGAGCGGTAAAAGACCTTCCCGTCCGCGCGGTGCGACGGCCTAACGAAAGGAGAGCCACCTCGATATCTCGGCGACATCTCGGCGACATCTCGGCGACATCTCGGCGACATCTCGGCGACATCTCGGCGACATCTCGGCGAATCTCGGCGACATCTCGGCGACATCTCGGCCTGCCAACCGCTACCGCGGCCTCCTCGTCCTCCTCGCCCTCGCTCTCCTCCTCGCCGCTCCCCTCGCTCTCCTCGCCGCTCGCGCCCTCCGACTTCTCGCCCTCGCCGCCGCCCTCCGCCTTGGCGCCACCGCCCTCCCCCTCCCCCTCGCCGCCCTCGCCCTCGCCCTCGCCCTCGCCGTCCTCGCCCTTGCGCTCGCCGGCGGCCGCGGCCGCACCGACGTCCGGCGGCGACACCTTCTCGCCGGGGCCCGCGGCGGAGGGGCCGCCGTCCTCCGCCTCCTCCACCTTCCGCTTCTTGCGCGCGGGCTCCTCCGAGCCCGCCCCGTCCGCCGCGTCCTGCGCCGGCGCCGCCGGCTCCGCCTCCGCCGCCGCTTCCGGCGCCGCTTCCATCGGCGCGTCCTCGGCCGCGCCGCCGCCTCCGCCGCCGCCGGTGCCGCCCTCGGCGAGGATGCGCGCCATCGCTGTGTCGACGGCCGCCTTGACAAACTTCTTGTGCGCGCGGAGGGAGCCGTCGGCGCCGGGCAGCAGCTCCGTCTCGAGCATCCGGAGCACCACCTTGACTGAGATGGTGTCCCAGTCCTCGCGGCGCAGCAGCCGGTCGATCGCCGCGTTCACGGACTCGTCCGTGAGCCCGGCAGGCCAGTTTTCCGCCGCCATGGCGCTGCAGGGTTCGGCCTCTAAGATGTGAGGGGCTGGGACGCGTTCATTACGGTCTACCGGTAGACTGCGGTAGACTCGTCTACCAAACGGTCTACCGTCTACCCCAGTCTACCGGTAGACGGTAGACGGGCCACCCCTCAGGCCTGCAGGCGCCACGGCGGCGGTCGGTGGGCGAGGCGGGCGAGGCGGGCGAGGCGGGCGATGCGGACGTGGACGTGGACGTGGCGGGCGGGGCGGGCGGGGCGCGGGGCGCGGCGGCTCTGCTTAGTGAGGGTCCGCCCGCATGCATGCCTACAGTGCGAGTACAGGCCCTTCGATGAGAGAGCACTCGCAATTGTAAATAAAAGCACCGAAAATTCTTTTGAGCTCGGCGACGCGTCGCGGCGGACCTTCGCGAGCTCGGTGATCTCGGGCGATCTCGAGCGAGATGTTGGACATGGACTCGACGTGGTCTGCGTGAGCTGATGTCGATCATCACGCCGTCGAGACTTTGGCGAGGCGCGGGGCGCGATGGCAGCGCCGCCGCCGCCTACTCTCCTTCATCTCGAGGCGAGATCGCGAGCTCGGTGATCTCGGGCGATCTCGAGCGAGATGTTGGACATGGACTCGACGTGGTCTGCGTGAGCTGATGTCGATCATCACGCCGTCGAGACTTTGGCGAGGCGCGGGGCGCGATGGCAGCGCCGCCGCCGCCTACTCTCCTTCATCTCGAGGCGAGATCGCGAGCTCGGTGATCTCGGGTGATCTCGAGCGAGATGTCGGACATGGACTCGACGTGGTCTGCGTGAGCTGATGTCGATCATCACGCCGTCGAGGTTTTTGGCGAGGCGTGGGGCGCGCTGGCAGCGCCGCCGCCAGCTACTCTCCTTCATCTCGTGACGAGATCGCGAGCTCGGTGATCTCGACGTCTCGTGCCCGACTCTGACTCGCGCGACTGCTTCTGGCTGCTCGTTCCGCATTCTTCTACCCACCACCATCCCCTTGTCTCCTCCAATGTCTGAGCAGTCGAACCGTATGGCAAGGCCAAGCTGCTCAACTTGAGGGGACGAGGCCAGCATTAGCAGTAGTGTCGCTAGCTTAGCGGTGGGATATGCACGCGCCAACGCCCGTCCAGGACGGACGGAGGCGTTAGGACAACGCAACCCTAACCCGTAGCCAAATTGGCACTCGGGCGTGTGCGCGCGTAGACACTACTCTCCTTGCTGTGTGTCCCTACGGCATATTAATGCCGATAAATGCCTCAAGAGCCGAGTGTGGGCCGGAAAGCCCAGCACTCTCTCGCCAGGAAGCATCGCGTTACAAAGAGCTACGGGTGTTTCGTGTGCGAGCGGGAGTTTTGTTGTAAAATTCTGATTATCAGTACAGATCGCCCGGGCTAGGGATCCCTAGAAGCCACAAGTCTAAGTCTTAGAAAAGCAAACCTTGCCCTGGGCGATACAAGAGTGTGCCTCTCTCTGCGTGTGATCCGTGTGTGTCACTCTTTACGCACTGTCTGACGACAACGCGACGAGAACGATGTTCGGTCCCCCTCCCCGCTCGGCGTGTCCGCAAGGCTGGTTGTGCTGGGGTGTCATGGAGCATGCGTCTGGCAATGTACAATGCGGCCCGCGTGTGGCCGCTGGGTGGAGCGACCCGGCGCCCGCAGCAATCCGCAGCGTCGAGCCCCGGCGGCACGCAAGCTGCGGTGCTTCGTTTCAGCGGCCAAATTGAGTGGGCTCGTTTTGGCGTCGAGACATCAGAGCTCGCGCACCGCGACCATCGCGGCCAGCTTGAAGCGCTGGTGCGAGAGCCACACCACCCCCGCCTGTTCACAGCTGCAGGTTGTTAAGAGACGCCGTTCACCGCGAGACACCCACACGCTGCGTGGCCCCCGCCTGCAACCGCTCGCGCACCGACGCGGTCTGCAGCAGCGCGCCTGCAGGAGTGCTTGAGGAAAGGTGTGTAGGAGGAAGGCGCGGGGGGCGGGCTGCCCGCCGGCAGCAGCGCGCGTCGGTCGAGCTTGGCAGGCAGCGCAGACACCGAGGCGAGCTCGGGCAGCAGCGCAGCCATCAAGTAGGAGACCCGCTGGGCGCGCCGCAACGGCGGGTAGCCGAAGCGGGAAAGCCACTCGGCCGACGAGGGGGGCTCGGGCATGTCTGCGGGCCAGCCGCTCTCGGGGGGCGGCGGGAGAAGCGGCAGCATCTCGCGCAACGCCGGCAGCCGCCGCAGCACCTCGTCGTCTAGCCAAGCGTCCGCCTCCTCGGCCACCGCCTCCGCCTCCGCCTCCTCCTCCGCCTCCTCGGCCACCGCCTCCTCCTCCTCCGCCTCTACCGCCCCGCCCCGCCCGCGGGTCTCCAGCCGCGCCGAGAGCGTTGCGCAGAGCACAATCTCGCGCCACAGCGCCTGCTCGAGGGCGAGCAAGAAGGGCTGCGAGTACGCGTCGTACGCACGGCCGAGCCCAAACCGCGCTCCGCCCTCGCCGGCGAGGCCCGCCGCGCTCAGCTCCCGGCCAAACTGCGCCTCGAGCGCGCGAGCAACCGGGTCCGCCGAGTTCAGCGCCGAGGCGGCGGCGGCGGCGGCCTGCCGCGCCGCGGCGGCGGTGGAGGAGATGGAGAGCGAGAGGTTCAACGGCGCTCGCTCCTCGATGGCGGCGCACGCCTCGCCTTGGTCGCCCACCGGCAACGCCTCCGCCTCCGCTGATACCGCCGCCGACCAGTCGATTCGGCTCTCGGCGCTCGCCCATGTCACACCTGCAGCTGCCGAGGCGGCGCGCGCGGCTTCATTGAGGGCGGAGCCGTCGGCGAAGTGGCCGTTGCGGCGGAGGTGGAGGCGCGCGGCGGCCTGCTCCTCCTCGTCAGGAAGTAGCAGCACGTCGCCTCGCACGAGCGGCGCGTCGGAGCGCACGCCGATCGCTCGCACGCGGCCGACCGCCACGGTGAGGGCGATGATGCCTGTGCGGTCGATTCACGAATCGGTTACGACATGCTGACGCTGCGATGCTGCTGCTGCTGCTGCTGCTGCTGCTGCTGCTGCTGCTGCTGCTGCTGCTGCTGCTGCTGCTGCTGCTGCCGCTGCTGCCGCTGCTGCTGCTGCTGCTGCTGCTGCCGCTGCTGCTGCTGCTGCTGCTGCCGCTGCTGCTGCTGCTGTGCGATGATGCCTGTGCAGTAGATTTAGTGCTGCTGCTGCTGCTGCTGTCGCTAGAGATGCGGTTGCTGCGATGCTGTCGCCAGTGATGTGGTTGCTGTGATGCTGTCGCTAGTGATGCTGCTGCTATTGCTGCGGTTGCTGTGTGGTGATGTTGGGTTCTACAATTCCGGCTCACCGCCGCTGCGGAGGCGGCGAACGTCACGAAGCTCTGTCAGGACGCCGGGGCTTGCGAGGGCGCGGTAGGGCGAATCGGTCGGCGCGGCGGCGGATGACTCAAAGTGCGCAAACAGCCGCGGCCCGCCCGCGGCGCGGGCGAGCGACTCGAAGGTGTGGATGAGTGCCGGGTCAAAGATTCGGAGCACTTGCACGACACCGGGCAGCGGGCTCGCCCACGGGGCGCAGACGAGCGGCAGGTCGGCGAGAGAGCCGGGTGACGCGTCGCCTGGCTCCGCAGAGGCGGCTCCCGGGCAGGAGGCGGCGAAGCAGCGCTCCAGCAGCTCCTGTTGCTCTCCGCCGCCCGAGGAGGGGACCAGAGCGAGGAGGGGACGGCGCGCCCGGCGGCTGACGGCGAGATGGTGTGTCGTTCGGCGACAGCCCGCAAGGCCGTGCAGCAGGGCCGCGGTTGGCGTTGCCAGCGCGAGGGCTAGGGCGAGGATACGGGGCGACAGCATCGGCGCGGGTGATTAAAAAAGAAAAATTTCCTTATTGCAATCAGTCTTCGCGTGATAGGTTCCTGACTGCACACAGGACCTTTGAACGTGTGGGCGGCAGCTGTCTGTTTACAGGCGCTGGCCGCCCGCGCGCGCGCCGGACCGGCTCCGGCACGTCCGGCGCCGGGCGGCGCGCGTCCACACTGCGCGTCGCGCAAAAGGCGAGCGCTCGCCGCCGCTACGGCGGCGGCGGCGGCCGACGGCCGACGGCCGACGGCCGACGGCCGACGGCAGACGGCAGACGGCATACGGAAAAGAAAAAAATGGATTTGTGAGGTCGGGAAACCCGGAGCGCAGAGCCAACCCTCGGGGACCCGTGTTGACTTTAAGGCCCTTGCCCTGCGAACGCGCACCCCCGGGCCGGAGAAGGGGGACGCGTGAATCCATCCCTGGTGGTGTCCTCCACTCTCGCGCTGCTCGCTCGCCCGTGCGGAGGGCATGGCCGCGGAGGAGGCGAGTACGCGCTGCGCTGCGCAAAGCTGCGTGTGCTGAAGGTGCATCTGGTGCTTCCTTTCGGAAGTGCGCACCTCCTGCAGCTGGTGGAAGGCCGTGCCGCCGCTCGCCTGCTCCGTGGACAGGGCGGGGAGGCGGCGCCGCAGCGCCGCAGCGTCCGCTGCACGCCGGTGCAGCACTCTGCTGCCTGGTGAGCAGCCTGCTGGTGGTGTGCGCGGTGTTGGCGAGGCGGCTTTGGCGCTGTAGTGCCTGCCGCGGCGAGTGGCGCGCGGCACGCGCGGCGCCGCGCGTGGCCCGGACGGCGCCAGAGAACGCGCTCGATGAGCCAGCCGGGGCATCCCCCGGGTGTGTGTGTGTGCTGCTGGCTGGTGCTGGTGTATCCGCGCGCCTTGCGGGGGGGCGGGGGGGCGGGGGGGGGGGGGGGGGAAAAAGACCCTCTTAGCGCCGGCAACCCCGACTTTTGCGACGGGATTTGGGTTTATATTATACCACGGGATTTGGGTTTTGGCGATGACTAACCACCCAAGACAGCTTGGAGAGCTCCCGGTAACGCTACATTTCGTAACGATCGTCGCTATTGGCCATCTGCCTCCTGCAGCCTCTGTTGGGGCGGAATGCGGAGGGTTTTCGGCGCGATGCCTCCGGCTAGTACACGGTACTGCTCTGCCGCAAATTCTCCTGCGCTCGCGTGACGTGTGGGGCGCGTGCACTGCGCTCGAAAGTCGCGATTTGGCAATAGGCGCTCGAGCCGGCGCGCAGTGGAGGGGGCGCCGCGCAGGGGGATCGGGGGGGTGCGAGAGGGGGCGTGGGTCGGGCGCGCACCGGCCGGCTCCGGGAGCGGCCGTCACGTCGAAGAGGGGACCTGCTGTGCTGCTCGAATGACGACGCATGCCGCTCTGCTGCGCCGCCGATAGCCCCTCTTCCGAGCCGGCGCGTGGCGGCGAGCCGCGTCCAGTATCGCTGGTGCGGTGGAGGCGGCAGCTTGCATCGGCCGGCAGCGGGTGCGGCCATCACGTCGATGAGGGGGGGTTGTCGGCGACTCGTGTGGCTCGAGGCCTACGCTGCGCCGCCCAAGCCCTACTGCCGATCCAGCGCCTGGCGTTTGGGGCGAGCCGCGGTCGTCGTCGCTGATGGTATATGGCGGCGGCGGCGGCGGTTCGCCCTTCCCTCCGGCCGCAATTCCGATCCCGCCGCGCTCGCGGGAGGTGGCGTGCATACACCTCACGCCCTTTCTCCTCAACGGCTATCCGTGCTTGCTGTGCCCCTGCGTGGTGTGTTTCAAGTTCTTACAACCCAAGGTGATAGAGGGCAAAAAAATCGATTGCGCTCTTGCCGATCCGCACCTACCTAGGCTCTTGGGTGGCGCGCCCCAGCTCTTCACAACGAACCTGGTTACTCGCACCTGCCCCAATATGGGGCTGCTTGCTCTGCTCCATCTCCATATTTTCCAGGCAACCCTGGGCCTCTGCCCCGGCACCGCTGGCGGCCAGGGCGACCCGCACCTTTTTGGCGCGCACGGCGGCCACACCGACTTTCGCGGCCGCGATAACACGTTCTTCAATGTCGTGTCTCACCAGAAGATGAGCGCGAACGTCAAGACGAAGGACGGAGAGTTCCGCCTGCAGGGCGCCACCGTCAATGGCAGCTGGATGGTGGAATTCAATCTGATCGCGACAACGCCCGCGGGACTTCTCTATTGGACCTATGACGCGGCGAGGATCTCACCCGCCTCGCTGCTCGGCTTCAGTAACGGCACCTGTGGCGGCGTCCCCTTCAAGCTCACGGGCGCCAGGATGGGCAACCTCCTGCGCAATGGGCCCGCGTCTTGCAGGTGCGGCCCGCGTAGGATGGTGCTCTCCTGAGCATCATTGCCTTCCCATTCCCTACTTGCCTTCCCCTGTCCTGCAGGCGAATCACAGCTCCGTGAAGGTCTTGATGCCGCTAGGGCCATCACCGTCGCGCCCAAGGCGACCCCGGACTACTTCCACAGGTCTGACCGCATCTCCGGGCCGGAGGCGCACGCCTGCCCCGGCGTGCAGCGGTCGGCCCAATGCTTTGGATGAGCCCGGGTTGCCCGCCCGCACAGGTGCGCCTGGACCAACTGTTCACCCTCCTGCGTCCCGAGCGGAGCCTGGTCGTGGCGCCCCACGGCCTCGTTGGGCAGACCTTTGACGGCTCTGACGTCGGGGTGGACGGAGCGGTCGACCCGAAGCCGCAGCTCGGCGAGCGCATGACCACGAGGGCGATGGCGGAGGGCTCGATCGAGGGCGTGTGGCAGGACTACGTCATGCCCTCGCCGTTCGCGACGGAGTTCAAGTTCAGCCGCTTCGGCGTGACCAAAGCACCTCCTCGCAACGTCACCACGCTCACGGGGCGCAAGTTCAAGTTCGCAGCGGCCGCGTCGTCGACCTCCGCAACGGCCTTCCACGACGAGGGCACCGACGAGATCACCGAGGCCTCCCGCCGCCGGCTCGAGGAGTCGTGCTCGCCTCCATCACCGCCACCACCTTCGCCGCCACCACCCGCGGACTCAGAGGTGGCGTCGTTGGACCTGACCACCACCGACTCCGATGTCAAGGGGTTCATCGGCGGCTTCAGCGACGAGACCTACGGGTACTTGGTCCCATTCCACAACGGTAGGTACTTCGGCAGCGTAGACGTGCTGGATCTGACCACCACCGACTCCGACCTGAAGGGGCTCTTTGGCGGCTTCAGCGACGGGACCTACGGGTACCTGGTCCCAGTTGACAACGGTGCGTACCACGGCAAGGTCGCCCGCTTCTCGCTCTCCGACTTCAGCAGTGTCGAGGTGCTGGACCTGACCACCACCGGTGTCGAACCACCAGCCCGACGCGCACTGCAGACGGCACCGCCACTAACGCTAGACCCCTCGCTAGCGAAGCGGCGCGACCTCACCCTCAGTGGCTCTCTGCTGAGCCGAGCCGTCAACTACACGCTTCGTGTGCTCAGCTGCTATCCTCCACCTCCAGATCTCTGTGGCAGCGCGGAGACGATAGTCCACTTAACGGACGAGCCTCTTGAGGGGCTGATCGTTACAGCGAGCACTCAATCGTTGGGGCCTCTTGAGAAGGCGGTTCCTTTGGTTGCTCTCCGAGACTCCAAGCGCGCCCTACAATCAGAAATGGAACAGCTGTCTGCTGATGCGGGTGGCTGAGGTGGCGGGCCGGAAGCTCACGTGCTGGCAGTACGACCAGACGTCGTGGTCGGCGCGCGAATGGATGCCCGTTTGCGCTGCAGCGACTGTCGGTGCAGCTTTGGACGGCTCTCAAGGACGAGGCACATCGCGCCATTGGTGCGGCGTCACGCGGCCGCGAGGGACCGCGGGGGGAGGTTTGTGGGATGGGGGGCTCTAAGGGGAAGGGAGCGGGGGGCGCCCAGTAGGGCGCCGGCGCCCCGGAGTAGAGGGCGTCGTGTAGGCCTCCTTTCGGTATACAAAACTGTTGGTGCAAGCTTGACCTGGTTGGCCTTGGGAGGAAAGAACAAAAACGAAAATGGGTGCCGGGGTGCGCGGTGGTGCAGCGGAATAGAAGCGGCACCCTCGTGAACGGGAAGCAACTACTTTGCTTAGGTTAGGTTAGGTTAGGTTAGGTCAGCGTAGGAAGGTGAAGAACAGCCAGGCTTGGACTGGACACCAACGTAGGTAGGTAGGTAGTAAGGTGAAGAACAGCCAGGCTCGGACTGGACACCAACGCGGTATGGGTGGACGCTGGACAGATGATGACGACACGCACGAACGACACACAGACACAAACAAGCTCACAAGACACACAGCCAGCTGGCTGCCACACACCCTGAGTCGGCAAACACATAACTCAAGGCCACATCCTCCCTGTCGCCCCCCCCAGCACTCCACGGTGCCAAGAGTACAAACAAGGGCACAACAAACAACAGACGACAGGAAGTGATATGCGAGGCTAGAGCGGGCTTGCTCCACCTCTAGCAATCTCACCGGCCGGCAAGGCACGGACGAGACCGTATGTGGGGTCTAGTGAGGTGTCTATGGACGCCCTCCTCAGAGGCTAGCTGCCTGCGGCTAGCCCTATATCTCGCACTCACAGGCAATGACAATCCAATGTATGAGTGTATGCAAGCAGAGGCGCGTGTGCTGATTCTAGATCGCACGCCGTGGCATATGACTTGGGAGGCGTGCGACCGCAGCGCACCCGTCGTAAGGTCGGCGGGCGCGCGTGTCAGCGAGAGAGTTGCGGGCGGAGCCATACCCGACTTCTAGAGGAAGAGCCCCGCGCCACGGTTGCCAGCCGTGCCTTCGCGGGACCCGCCCCTCGAGCCGCGTCTCGTCGCCCACTGTCCCTGAGTGCGTCCCGCCTTGGCGGCACACACTCGACGAGGACAGTCCGGCCAACGAGATCGTGTCGCGCGCCGGCGACGGTTGCGGCGTAGTGGTTTCGAGTGCGAAGCGAAGATGGCACGCCCACCGCCCTGCATCGCAGACCGGGCAAGGAGGGGCCTGCTCCCGTTCCGCGAGGAACAGGAGGTCTCCCCCCCTCCCCCGGCCTGAGCAGCGACGGTGGAAGGCAGCCCCTTGAGTCGAGGGCGGCGCGACCGTTGTTCCGCATCAAAGACCAGAGGCCCCGGTCAGGACAGATGGTCGCGCCGCCCCGCTCCGCCCGCCCGCCGATGCGCCGCGCCGCCGCCCGATGATTATTAAGTAATAATTCATTAACAAATACTTACCAACGCTCTTGCTTAGGTAGGTAGGTAGGTAGGTAGTAAGGTGAAGAACAGCCAGGCTCGGACTGGACACCAACGCGGTATGGGTGGACGCTGGACAGATGATGACGACACGCACGAGCGACACACAGACACAAACAGGCTCACAAGACACACAGCCAGCTGGCTGCCACACACCCTGAGTTGGCGCACACATAACTCAAGGCCACATCCTCCCTGTCGCCCCCCCCAGCACTTTGCTTAAGGTGGCAGTCCGGGTTTTGCGAGACGGGTGTCGTCCCGCAAGATGGCATCACGCTCGCACCTGCCGACCGCCGCCACGGCGGCGAGACGCCTTCTCCGCCACCGCGGCGCCGGCCACAGGCCAGCGCTAGGCAGCTGCCGGCCACACTGGGCCGGATTTGCCGGCACTCGTCGCCGCACACTCCTATGTCCACGCCGCTGTGACGTCTGGCGACGAGGCGCCGGCCGCCAAGCTTCATCGCCAACGTGGTCGCTCGCTGGTCCTCTCGGCTCGGACACGCGTCGGCCCAGCTCACACGAGCTCCAGACAGCCACCAGTCGCCACGCGCAAAGCGTACGGGTCGCCGGCTCCCTGTTGTGCTCTCACGCTGGCCGGCGTAAAACTGTACTGGCAGTTGTCATGCCGTACCCGTCGCGTTTCGAAAGGGAGCCCTCAATCGACGCGTCTACACGCACCGTGCCACCGCTCTCCACAACTGCTACCGTGGACATCAAGCTCCTCGACTCGATCTGCGGCTACGACGGCGCTCTAGCTGCTGGCTCTCGCGGGTGTCTGGCGACCCGCTCAGGCTTGCGAAACGGCCGGCCGCGGCGACGTGTTTCGAGCTCGCTGGCCTTCTCCGCGCGGCTGGGCCCGCCCCTAGTCGGGGCCGACCCGCCCAGTCACTGGGCAGCGCGTGCGCCGTCATCCTGGACGACGGTGTGCTGGTGCATCCGGGAGGCTCCGCGGGGCTGCTCTAGCAGCCTCGGGAGGGTCGAAAATCGAAGCCGGAGCGGCGGACCACGGAAGCTCCACGGACGGTGAGGCGGGCTGTGGTTGGCCCCCCCTGACCGGGTGAGGGAGTGGCGCCCCGGGAGTGCCGCTCCGGCAACGTCTGTGGCTCCAAGGTACCGTGACCGCGGTGCTCGCTCTCGCGGCCGTCTCACGACCCGCTCGAGACGAAAACTGGAGCGGACGGTGCGACGAACCGCGAGTGGGATGGTCTGCTCCGCGCGGCTGGGCCCGCCCCTAGTCGGGGCCGACCCGCCCAGTCACTGGGCAGCGCGTGCGCCGGCGTTCTGGACGACGGTGTGCTGGTGCATCCGGGAGGCTCCGCGGGGCTGCTCTAGCAGCCTCGGGAGGGTCGAAAATCGAAGCCGGAGCGGCGGACCACGGAAGCTCCACGGACGGTGAGGCGGGCTGTGGTTGGCCCCCCCTGGCCGGGTGAGGGAGTGGCGCCCCGGGAGTGCCGCTCCGGCGACGTCTGTGGCCTCCACGGTACCGTGACCGCGCCGGCCTCGCTCGCGGGGAGGCTCTTTCGGAGCCGTCGGCCTCCGAAACCGTCGCGTTGCTGCGCCTGGACGGCTTCGATGCTCGCCAAACCCGTCGGCACCGTTCATATACACATGAATTGTGAGTGAACGCGCATTTTTCTGATAGCTTACTGAAATGTTCCCGGATTCTAGTTTCGATCTAGTCCTAACGGACACAAAACAGAGGCCTCCTAGCACGGAGAAGCGACTAAGAGTCGCCGATATGCGAGTAAGCTATCAGAAAAATACGCCCGGAATCACAATTGATCCCGTCGACAAGGCGCCCCAATCGCGGAGGTCTGGCGCGGGCGTGGAGGCGAGCATCGACGCCTCGACGGTTGCTCTTCAGAGGTCGTAAACAGGCGCCTGAAAAAGGAGAGAACGCGAGACTGATCACGCGCGCGGAAAAGCCCGAGGGGCGAATCTAAAGTGCCGAGGCGCTTGCTAATCACCCCAGCTAGGGCCACGGAGGCGCTCGCGGCAGGTCTCCGCGCGCGCGCTGGCCGGTGGCAGCTGATCTCGGGCGGCGGGCGGCGGGAATGGGCTCGGGCGGCACCTTTTGCCCTCAAAAGTCGTTCGAGAGTACCGGGTCGCGGCGGGAACGCGCCCATCCGCTCGATGGGTGTCAGGAGTCGATCGCCTGCGCCAGGAGCGAGCACGGGAGTCGTCGCGATGGGAGTCGTAGCGGCGTGGCGCTCGGCTTCGAGAGAGCGACGTGGGCGCGGCGGCGCGGGCGGCCGGTGGGGCGCGTGAGGTCCGCACCTTCGCGACGGGCAGGCTCGATACGGCCGCTGGCCGGGGCGGCCGCTCGACCGGCCGCCGCGGTCGTTCCGGCGGCGGCGTCGGCGTCGGCGTCGCGAGCGAACTTGCTCGCATTCGACGAGCGACCCTCTTCACAGAACCCGGACTGCCACTTAAATGTCACAAAAAAGAAAACAAAATGCTGGCGTCTCCGTTTCCGCGTTCCTTTGTACATGGCGCTCCCAGCAGCCTGCGAGGCGCACACGCGGCAGCACAACAGCGCCGGTGCTGCGACCGCCGGCGGGCTGAAGGGCGGAGCGTGGGGCTACTGCGCCCATCTCCGGGCATATGGTCTCAATTTTGATTTTGGGCTCGCGAACAGCCTTTTGGCGCTCAGGCCGTCATCGTCCTTCGAGTTTGGGTGTGGCCTCGGTTTGTACACCTCCTGGCTGTACCAAGTCGGGGACGTGCAGCCCGCTATTGGGGTGGAGCCGATGCCCATGCCTTCGTCCATCTTCCGCGCCGAATCAGCCTGGCCTCAGCAGCTCGTGAGCGATCTGCTCAACGAGAGCGCCGGGTCCCAGGAGTGCGTACGCGCACTCGGCCAACAAGACCTTGTCTTCAGTATCGAGGTGGCCGAGCACATTCCACGGCATCTGCATGCGGCTCTCGCTGATTTGCTCGTGTCACGCACCCGCGGCTTTCTCGTGTTCAGTGCAGGGCGTCCGGGTCAGCCGGGGAGGGGCCATATCGCCAACCGACCGACCGACGAATGGGAGCGTGAGTTCACGTCACGAGGGATGATATTCCTTCCTCGAACCACTGCGCGCTTCAGGGGCGCGTCGCGCAACGGCGAGATCAGGAGGAACGTCCGCGTCTTTGCTGCAGCTCGCGCGCAGCTTGGGATGGCGTTGGATGCGCCCCAGCCCGGCACCTGGGGCGAGCCGGCACCCTCCGCAAGCCACAGTGCGTACGTGAGCTCCGGGTGCCGCGCTCAGATGTGGCGGGGGCTCGAGACAACCGCGCACGATAAGTGCAACGCGACCCATGCGGTTAGCGGCCGCAAGCTGCTGAGCGTGACACGGCACTACGCCAGCGGGGGCAAGCGGGTTGAAGAGGCTGGCAGGCTGTTCGCCGTGCCTATTCCCGGCCACGCAGACGGGTCGTCGCAGAGGGCGGTGAATGACACCGAGGCCATTTGGTTCCCGCGCCACCGACTGCGTCAGGGAGAGCTAGCGCTCTGGCCCGCCCTTGTCCAGCAGGCAGCGGACGACTGCTGGGGCTACATGCAACTCTCTTGAGATGTCATGCTTGCGTCCCCTGCCATCAGTGGACGCTTTTCTACGATCCGTTTCCTTGCAGCTCTAACTTCACGACGCTCGAGGTTCGGGGTTTTAGCAGCTGTGAGATGTGACACAGCGTTGCGGGCGATTTATGTCAAAAGGCTAAGCTCGTAAAAATCACGGTCGCGGCAGGCAAAAAGTCCCCGGGAGCCGGGTTGTTGCACGAGTATATGGGGATCACGATGTCTCCTCGCTCGCGGGATCGCTCGCCGCGTCGCTCGCGGCATCGCTCGCAGGAAAACATCGACAGTCGTCTCGGCCTTCCCTGTTTCCCGGCAGCCGAAAGTCCTTCTTTCGTTCTCAGTATCAATTATCTCAATATCGCCGTAATTCATTAATTGCTTGGTCTCGGCTCTTCCTTGGTTCAAGGCCGTTCTGCGGCCACCGACTGCTTCACCCAACGGACGCTCAACCGCCAGCACGATTGTGCACAACTCGTCCACGAGATCCCGTGCGCTCGCCCCGCCGCTATACCCGATGGTTGGCGGCGTGTCCGATCTCGCGTCGGCGCTGGAGCGGAAGACCTCGCTCGATTCGCTCTTCGGGAGTGACTCAAGCCGCTCGCGCAGATCCTCACTCACCGGATCATGCTGCAGTCGCTCCCACAGGTCCTCGCTGATCGGATCGTGCTCGACACGGCGCAAGCGCTCCTCCTTGGTCCAGATTGGCACAGGCCACGCCCAACTCACTGGGCCGAGACGGCGCTCGTGCTGCGACCTGGCCTCGCTCTCCAGGAGCCGCGCGAGCGAGGTGGACGGCTCGTTGCGCTCGCTGGTGGCAAGAGAGGTGGACGGCTCGGTGCTCTCGCGCGTGACGAGCCTGGGCGCTGGCCAGTTTGGGCGCGCGCCTTCCCGAGTTCCGGGCATGCCAGCCTGCGCCAGCAACCTCCGATTAAGCCGTCTCCGGTGCGCAGGTGCGTCTCGCTCGTCACGGATGGGCGCGGGACGCCGTACGCCTTGAAGGCGCTGTGGAAGGGGCAGCTCCTCGCGTCGGACGGCGTCGGGGCCGTCGTACGCGAGCGCGACCTCCTCGCCTCCGTGAGCCACCCCGCAGTCGTCCAGCTCGCCGCGTCCTTCCAAGACGCGCGGCGCGTGTTCCTGCTGCTCGAGCCGGTGCTCAACGATGGGCTCAGCACGCCTCTCCCTGTGCACAGCGCCTCGTCGCACGAAAAGGTGTGATTAACAGGCCCTCGGCGGCGAGCTCTTTGCGCTGATCCACATGCTCGGGCGCTTCGACGAGCACCACGCCCGCTTCTACGCCGCGAGCGTCGCCGACGTGCTCGGCCACCTGCACGACGAGTGCGGCATCGTGTACCGCGACCTCAAGCCGGAGAACCTGCTTCTTGACGGCACGGGCCACATCAAGCTTTGCGATTTTGGCCTCGCCAAGCGGCTGCGCGCAGGCTGCGGCTGCGTGCGCGCAGCCGAGCGCACCACCACCATCTGCGGCACGCTCCTCCCTGCAGCGATGGTGCTCCAAGCGTCGCCCCGGAGCCCTCCTGGAGCCCTCATGTAGGCACGCCCGAGTACCTCGCTCCAGAGATGGTGAGGGGCGAGGCGTACGGAGTTGCGGTCGACTGGTGGGCGCTCGGGCTGCTGCTGTTCGAGATGCTCTCCGGGGTGCCGAGATTTGCCGAGATTGGCCGAGATGCGCATCGAGAGGGGGTGCAACGAAGCAACACCAGTATCCATGGCTGCCTTCGCTAACCTCCGCCGCCGCTTCACAACCACCGCCCTCCATCGCCGCCCCCGCCACCTCCAACATTGACGACTACCTTGCAGGTGCCGGCCTACCGCGCCGACAGCGACAAGGAGGCGCGTCGCTCCACTCTCGCCCCTTGAACGCAGCATGCGCACAGCTCATCCGCCACCCCGCCAGGGGGGTCGACCGCCCGCTCCCCGCTGACGACCGCCCCCGCTCACTGCGCGCCCTCGATCCCCGCCCCGCGCAGGTGTACGCAAAGGTGCTGCACTCCGACCCCGCGCTGCTCGTCGTTGTGGAGCCTCCGACGGCGGCGCTATCGCCGAGATGTAGCCGAGATGTAGCCAAGCAACCTGCACGCAATCTCCACCTCGCGGCTCGACATAGCGAAGACGTAGCCGCGGTGTCCCGAGATATTGCCGAGATGTTGCTCTGCGCCCGGACAGAAAGGAAAGCTGCCAGGCAAGAGACGGACGACGGACGCGAACAGGCGGCGCTCATCGGCGCGCTGCTCCAGAAGCTGCCCGAGAAGCGTCTCGTGGGGCGTGAGGCCGTCGGCGCGGCGCCCTTTTTCGACGGCTTCGACTGGGAGGCCGCGCCCTAGATGCTAGTACTCCCCCCCTCTCCCTCTCGTCCATAGATTGTGCAATGCAGCGCTCAATAAGACACGACGTCATCTTGATCGTCACACAACGCCAACTGAACGCAGCAGCATGAGCTGTATCCCGTATTCAATCGCGATGCACGTAGCCGTGTTCACGCCTTGACGCCGTGAAGTGTTCATGACGCAGGCGCTGCGCGGTCGGCGGATGCGGCCGCCGTACGTCCCTCGCTTGGCGCATGCCACCGACACGTCCAACGTCATCCAAGTCGAGAAGTAGCCGAGATGCCGAGATTGGCCGAGATCGACGAGCCCAGATGCGATCCCTGCATTCCAGCAATTGCGCCAGAAGGCACGCATTCCACCGCACTCAGCTGCATTGTAGCAGTGACCATCTGCCTTCACAGCCTGCACATTCGTGCGACGGCCTAGCACTGCACGACACCGCACTCCTACCCCCCCCCCGTCCTTGATCTTGCCAGGTCGACAAATACGCGCGCTGCTCGTCGGAGGCGGACGGGGCCCTGTGGGACCGCCACCTCTCGACGGCGCTGCTCAAGGCGCGGGAGGACCCCTTCCGCGCCTTCCCCTGCGACGTCTGGAGCATCGACAACAACGTCTGACGAGCCTTCAGTCGGCACTGGCAGCCTCCGCGCCGCCCCTGTGTTTAATGGCATAGCGCTCCTCACCGAGTGCCCCGCGCAGGCACCGACACCGATGCAGGTTGCCGGGGCGCACTCTCTTTAGTTTATAGCATAGAGTGCAGAGTTACGCGGATACACACCGCTGAGAAGGCTGTTGCTCTTGGTGTGTCGAATGCTTGTGTTGTGCGCAACCGTGGCCAGGTTTCCACGCCACGGACACTTCTTTTCCACTCTGCACCGTGGGGCTCCTGCCCGTGTCCGGGCGTGGAGATGCGAGGGTCGCCCCCCCTTGCCCCACCACAAGTGTGTGTGGAGACGTTTACCCCTCGTACCTCACCTTACCTTACTCTGCACCGGATGACATAGAAGAACAACGCGCGAGGCACAGCACCTGGCCACTCCTCTCGCAGGCTGCCCTGAGACTGAGCCCAGTCACGCAGCCCGACCCGCCCCGTTCGTCTCTTCCCCAAACCCCATCCGAGTGCGCTCTGCTGCCATCGCCTCGGCTATTCTCGCCGCCTCGTCGTCCGCCACGGCTCCCAACCGCGCCGATTCTTTCCCCGCTGATGTTTCAACCCGTGTGGCCTCCGCGTGTGAGGAGGCGGTCAGTCTTGCCGCCTCGGCGTCAGCGACAATCGCCACCCGTGTAGCCTCCGAGGCCGCTGCCGCCAGTCTCGCCTCCTCCGCCATTCCGGCCGCAGCCAGCCGTGCCTTCTCCGCCTGTCCTCGAACAAAGAAGAGGCGACGACGAGAGGAACCGGCAGAGGATGCAATGACGTGACCCCCCCCCCCACCCCCACCCCCACCCCCCCCTCACCCACGTGCACTGGGCCTTGCACTTGCAATGCCGTGGGGCTCCTGTCGTCTAGACGTGGAGACGCCGACCTTACCTTACCTTACCTAGGAGCTGAACCCAGCCACACCGCGACGTCGGCAGTGTGGCCAGCGCGCGCGTGGCGAGAGGACACACCCCTTGGAGTGTGTGCGCGTGTGTGAGTGTATGCGCCGCGTGCCGACGCTCGCCAGCCGCGGCGTCGTCCACCTCGCCTCCGCCGCCCTCGCCGCGACGATGCTCTCCTCCTACTCCTCCGCGTCGGCGAGGACGGTGGTCGACTTTTCGGCGCCGTCGACAGCGGCTGCCTTCGCCGCCGTGGACGACCGCGTCATGGGCGGCGCCAGCACGTCGCGAGTGGTGCACGAGGACGGCGCGGCGCTCTTTGAGGGCAACCTCATCGTCGAGGGAGGCGGCTTCGCGAGCGTGCGGTACTTGGGCGAGATTTCACTCTCGCCCGAGGCGGAGGCGCTGTCGCTGGAGGCGAGGAGTGACGGGAGGAAGGGCTACAAGCTCACACTGAGCAGCGCCGCGGCACCTCAGGGCGTCTCGTATCAGCTCGTCCTGCCGCAGCTCGACGAGGGCGCGCCGTTCGAAAGGTTGCGGCTGCCGTTGGCCGACTTCAAGCCGTCGCTGCGCGGCCGGCCTGCTACCGACGCGCCGCCGCTGCGGGCTGCAGACGTTCGCGGCCTCGGCCTGATGCTGAGCCGGTACGAGAGCGGTGGCGGGATAAAGGAGCCGATTGCGCCGGGCTCGTTCCAGCTCCGCCTACGAAGGCTTGCCGAGGCGGAGAGCGAGCTGGCGATCAACGGCCGGAGGTGGGTCAACCCGCAGTGACGCTGTGGGGAGAGGCAGAGGCGAGGCCGCCGCGCACCGCCGCCCGCACGGAGCCCCCCCACATACAGCTGCAGCATGCGATGTAAGTGTAAAATAAATAAATAAACAAAGTGCAGTGTGGAAAATCCAAAATCCAAATCGCAAAGGTAGGTAAGGTAAGGTAAACGTCTCCACACACACGAAGTGGTGGGGCAAGGGGGGGCGACCCTCGCATCTCCACGCCCGGACACGGGCAGGAGAGAGGTTGTCTGTACTGCTACGCATATGTAGTCGCCCAGAATGCACAGATCGGCCATGTTATGTAAATACGCGCCCGCGATCCATAGTGCGTCGGCCAGACGGCGCGTATTTCGGTGTCGTGCCCGAGCCAAGTGGCGCCTGAGGGAGCTACAAATGTCTTGCGTATTACGAATCTGTCTTCTGCATCCACCTTCGGCCGATCGGGGTGTGCCTCTCAAGGCGCGCTACGCCCCACGTACTACGCACACGCATTCCGGATTCGAGTGAGAAGTGGTGGCCGACGGGGGTTACGCCTCACGCATAACGCATACGTTTTACGCATTCGCACGCCCAAGGTGTCGGAGAGGGCCTACGCACCACGTACTACGCACACGCATTCCGGATTCGAGTGAGAAGTGGCGGCCGACGGGGGTTACGCCTCACGCATTACGCATACGCTTGATGCATTCGCACGCCCAAGGTGTCGGAGAGGGCCTACGCACCACGTACTACGCACACGCATTCCGGATTCGAGTGAGAAGTGGTGGCCGACGGGGGTTACGCCTCACGCATAACGCATACGGCGCTGCCGTCGGTCGCGAGGTCCGTGACGTAAGTTGAAGTAATCTCGCGGACGGTGGGGTCCGATATGATTATCATTGGGTGATGAATGACGAGATGCGGGTTTGGGAGGGTGTGGATTCACTAGTCGTTAGAGATCGCCGAATGATCACGCGCGCGTGCAGGCGAACAGGGTAAGGGAAACACCTTTGCGACGCCGCGAATCCAGTCGATCTGCGCGCACGGCGGTAGAGCGAGGGTCGAGTCGATCGGCGTCCAGATGTCGTGCTGCAGGTACTGAAACGGCGCCTCCGGGTCGCAACGGCTCTTGTGGTGCGCGTCGCGTACCAGTGGCGTGACGTTCTGTAGTCGGCGTAGCTGGTGCTTGATTGACTTGTAGCTGCGGACACCAACGCGTATCTCGTTGATCTTTGCGCCGCTCTGGTACGTGTGAAGCAGAAGGCGGTCCTCCTCGATCGTCCACGGAGTGAAAGCTGAGTTCATCGGCAAGGTTTTTCGCGCGTGCAGCTGCACGAGAGCATCCTCGACCCACGGTTGTAGGCTGATCTCGGTGCTGTTCAGCTGCGTCTCGCTCATTTGTTGATCCTCGCACATTCCGCACATCAGTAAGGAAAGCTCGTCGATACCGGCGAGGCCTCGGAGCACATCTTGCCATCGACGCTGAACTGCACGCGGCTTTTTTGCAGGTGGTGGAAACGGCCACTGCTCTGCCACCTTGGGCAATGATATTTTGTCGCGGACATGGCGTAATAGCACAAAAGCGTCCATCTCTGGTCGCCACGGGCTGGCGCTGTGCTTCGAACGACGGGTTGAGTGCACGGCCATGAGGCTGCGTCGCAGAGCATCGGGAAGAGGTGATATGTAGTCCTCTTGCACCACAGGGTCGGTCGAGAAGGGACCGCCGTTCATGGCAGCGAGAGCGTAGAGGAGCAACCTGTGCATCGCCAGCACAGAGCCAGCAACGCTCCCGCGAATCGGTGAGGGGATCGTGACGGCGATCGTTGGACACGTCCCTGTCCTATCGACGGCGAACTCGGGACCCATTGGGGTTTTTTGGAAAAATGCTCTCCAGAAGACAGACAGGTTTTCCGGTGGGTAGAAATGCTCTCCCGAGTTCGCCCTCCCACCGGAAAACCTGTCCAAGAAGGTCTGTCGAGCCAATCAGTCGTTTAGCCAGGCCCCGCACTTCCCGCGGCGCTACACACGGTGTACTAGCACGGCGCATCCTGCGCCCCATCGTTTTTTGCAGTTTTTCGCTGTCCCCAGCTGGTGACGTTGCGAGTTTGCGCCGCCGCCCGCGCTTCCGATGTCGGTGCGCAGCGTTACGTCGTTGGCCGAGATCAGCAAGGAGGGCCTCGAGCTGACCGCTGTCGTCGGGCCGCTCTTGGCTGAGGGCGCGGAGCCGCCTCCGGCGCGCCCAAAACGGCGTCCAAAAAAGGAGTGGTCGTCGGCGCTGACCGCCATGACGGGGTTCGCCGCGCTCTTCGTGGGCTGCTCGCCGATGCTGCTGCTCTGCGTCTCGCTTTCGATGTACAGCGGCCTCCCGCCGGCAGCAGACGACGCGGGTGCCGCCGCGGCCGGAGGCAAGGGCGGGAGGGGAGGGAAGAAGGCGGCTACGCACGGGAGCGCGCACAGCCACCTCCACCGCCCGCGCGCGGGCAACGACTCGCGAGGGCTCAACGAGCCCAACCAGACGTTCAAGGTTCGGCCTGACGCCGAGCGGCACCGCGGGGATTTGCGAGAGCCTGAGCCGTCGGACAGCACAGAGGCGCCGTCGGAGGCGTCCGCAACCCCGGCCGACATGCACCCTCGTCTCGGCATCACCGCGGAGATGCAGGCGCGTCTGGCTGCTCCGTTTGGCGACGGTGGGGGCGAGGGCGAGCGGAGAGAGGATGGCGGCGCCGCACCCGGCCGCGCCTCTGTGGCGCCCATGGGACGGTTCCGAGAAGGTTCCCTCGAGGCGGCCGCGGGGGAGGAGAGGCGGAGAGCAGGAGGGCCGTCGTAGAGATGGTCCGTGCTGGTCCCCGAGAGAAAGGCAGGGACGAGGAGAGAGAGAGAGAGAGAGAGAGAGAGAGAGAGAGAGAGAGAGAGAGAGATGAGAGATGTGGGAGGTGTAAGTATTTGGTTCGTGTGGGTCAGACGTTGGCGCACACTCCAGGCGGATTGATTGATTGATGGGAAGGCGACACACAGTCCGACCAACGACTGGGACACCAACGCGGTAGGAGATATTCTAAGGTGTCGTGCGAGGGAGTTTTGTTGTAAAATTCTAAGCAGGACATCGTACGTCTCTCTCTCATCGTACGGGAATACTGTATCTCGGTTCCCGGCTCGCGGCCTGTCCCCCAGACCGTAGCAGTCGTATGACGCGGCGACGCTTGTGGCGCGGCGCCGTGCGATTGCGCTCGACCCTCTCTGCGGCGCCGCCCACACGCGTCGCTGCGCTGCGGCAGCTCGTCGCCGAGGAGTCGCCCAATCTATTTGCTTTTGCGGGCGGTGGCGGGCCGAGCGCAGGCGGCGCGGCGACGAGCAGCAGCGGCGCCGCCGCGCTGTCCGAGCGCGCCGTCGCGCTGGCGGCGGCGGCCGGGCCGGTGGAGCTCGACGCAGCGCCTCTCGCGGCCAGCCTGGACGACCGCTACGGCCGGCGCCACACGTACCTCCGCATCTCGCTCACCGAGCGCTGCTCGCTGCGCTGCACGTACTGCATGCCCGCGGACGGCGTGTCGCTCACGGACGCGCGGCGGCTCCTCTCGGCGGAGGAGCTGCTCCGCCTCGCCGCCCTCTTCGTCCGCGCCGGAGTCGACAAGATCCGCCTCACGGGAGGCGAGCCGACGGTTCGGCCCGACCTGGCCGCAGTCGTCGGCGAGATCACCACGCCGTGTGGGCCGTGGTCGAAGGGGGGTGCTCCCTCGCCGCACTGACGCGGCCTTCTTGTGCAGGCGCGCTGGACGGGCTGAGGCCGCTCGGGCTGCGCCAGATCGCGATGACAACCAACGGTGTGGCGCTGTCGAGGCTGCTGCCCTCGCTGCACGCCGCCGGCCTCGACAAGCTCACACACCTGTCGCTCGACACGCGGCGAACGGCGTCTCTTCACACCTGGAGCTGGGGACAGGCCTCGACAAGCTCAACCTCTCGCTCGACACGCTGCAGCGGGGTCGATTCCTCGAGCTGACGCGGCGCGACGCGCTGCCAAAGGCGCTCCCCAGCCCCCCCTCCCCTCACCACCGCCACAATCAGCAGAATGAGAAGGACACGGCTGGCACTGCCCGCCGCCACAGGTGCTGCGCGCGGTGGACGCGGCGCTGGCGCTGGGGTACACGCCGCTCAAGCTGAACTGCGTGGTGATGCGCGGTGTGAACGAGCACGAGGTCGAGGCCTTCTCCCCTACCCCCACGGTACCCGAACCCATCCTCCCCTACCCCAGGTGTGAACGAGCACGAGGTCGACGCCTTCGCCGCACTCGCGCGCGCGCGCCCCATCGACGTCCGCTTCATCGAGTTCATGCCGTTTGACGACAACGACTGGTCCGACTCAAAGCTGGTGCGGCGGGCCTGCACACCTCCCCTACCCCCACGGTACCCGAGACAAAATACCCTACTTAAACGGTACCCGAACCCAGGTCCCGTCCGCCGAGCTGCTCGCCGCGCTCTCGCAGCGCCAGCCGGGCCTGCGGCGCCAGCGGACGGACCTTTCCTAGACCTTTCCTAGACCGTTCCTAGACCGTTCCTAGGCCTGCGGCGCCTGCGGACGGACGCGCACGACGTGGCCCGCACCTACTCCTGGCCGGGCGCCGAGGGGTCCGTCTCCTTCATCTCGTCAATGACGGAGCCCTTCTGCGGCGGCTGCAACCGGCTCCGGCTGACCGCCGACGGATCGCTCAAGGTTTGCCTGTCTTGCGGCTCCGAGATCTCCCCACATCTCCCCACGTCTCCCGCCCCCCCCCCCCTCTCCCCCCATCTCCCCGCATCTCCTCCACATCCCCCCCCCCATCTCCCCCACATCTCCCCCACATCTCCCCCACATCTCCCCCACATCTCCCCGCATCTCCCCGCGTCTCGAAGGTGTGCCTGTTTGGCGGCTCCGAGATCTCGCTGCGCGACGCGATGCGGGAGGGGGCAAGCGACGCCCAGCTCCTCTCCCTCGTCTCCTCTGCCCTCGGCCGAAAGCACGCGCGCCACGCGGGCCTCGCGTCGCCGCACGACATTGCGCGGACCAAGAACCGGCCGATGACGACCATCGGCGGCTAGAGCTCGGCAGCTTCTCGTCTGCGATCTCGGCCGATCTCCGTTGAGGGCCGCCCGCCGACTCTGCGCCGGCGCGTCGAGAGGCCGTCTGTCGAGGGTGGGAGTCCCCGGGCGTGGGGGTGTGGAGGGGAGTACCGGTAATCGGGGATAGTACTAGAGGCCCGTTGCCCAGGGGAGGAGTGCGCAGGCGTTGGCGGATGGCGAGACGCTCGCACAGTCGCGCAGGCTGCCCCCCCTCGGGCAGCCACAAGCATTGCCGCCCCTCGGTGTCCCCCTCACACCCCGCCGGCTCTGCTCGCGCGCGGGAGCGATCGCGGACGTGTCTGGTTCTCGTTGACGCGTTGAAGAACACGGCGTTGTGTGTCTCTTGACTCTTCCCAGGCTTGTGTTGAGAGAGAGCTTCCGGCTTCCGCGCACATATGTACGAACGATATAACCGATATAACGCCGGAATTCTTTTTTGAAAACAAAATAGTTTCGGGGGGGCAGTGGGGCGCCCCCGTGTTTCTGTTGTCGCGCGTGGACGGACAGGTTTTTTCCGCGAGATTTCTTCTTCGCGTTAAATTCTTCTTCTCACGCGACCGGCACCCATCACACATGTCGCGCTCGCCTCGCGCAGCGCGCACCGAGGAGGACGCCCCGCCCACGGACTGGCTGGCCGAGCTGCCGCACGAGCTGCACCTCCGCATCCTCGAGGGCGTCGACGACTTCTCCGACTGCGCCGCCTTCAGCCTCGCGTCGCCGCGCCTCGGCCTCGCGCTTCGCAGCGGCCTGGCGCGCTTCGAGGACCCGCTCTTCGCCGTGGCGATGCGGCTGCTGCTCATCGAGCGCTTCGCCGCATCGTTGGGGTCGTCGATCATGGACACGCTAAGCGAGGCCACCCTCCGCAAATACACCGCCGACCGCCGCGCCAACGCCGACCACTTCCCATGGCTTGCGAGGGTGAGCCCGGCGCTCCGCCTCACGTCGGAAGTGGAGGGCGCTGAGGTCTGGAGGCTGCGGCGCGGCGAAGTGAATGACGCGAAGCTGCGGATGCGTCTCTTGCGGAGCGGCCAGGTGCAACATTTCGAGGGCGAGCGAGGCGCGGAGCGGTTGGTGCGCCTGAAGTTTGCCAGCGGCCAGGTGCAGCACTTCGAGGGCGACGCAGGCGCGGAGAGGAAGGTGCGAACGGTGTTTGCCGATGGCGCCGTGGCGCACTACGAGGGTGAGAAAGGTGCGGAGCGGGTGGTCCGCGTGGTGTGTGCCAGCGGCAGCGTGCAGTACTACGAGGACGAGCGAGGCGCGGAGCGGCTGGTGCGCAAAGAGTTTTCCAGCGGCGAGGTGAAGCATTTCGAGGGCGAGCGAGGAGCGGAGCGGAAGGTGCGCGCTGAGCTTGCCAACGGCCAGGTGCATCACTACGAGGGCGAGCAAGGCGCAGAGCGGAAAGTGCGCACGGAGTTTGCCAGCGGCACCGTGAAGTACTACGAGGGCGAGAAAGGCGCGGAGAGGAAGGTGCGCACGGTGCCTGCCGATGGCCAGGTGCAGTACTGTGAGGGCCAGTGAGGCGAGGAGCGGAAGGTACGCATTGACTTTTGTTCCTTCCTTCCGCGCACCTTTCTTCCGCGCACCTTTCTTCTTCTTCTCGGAAGGGCGGCGGCCGCGGGCGGCAGTCCCGGGAGGCACGCCGGCGGAAGGGCTCGTCTTCGCGGGGCGGGGTGCGCACTGCGCGCCGCGAGGATGAGGCTCAGCCTGAGCCAGGGGAGGGTTGGGAAGGGGGGGCGAGGCCAGAGGAGTATGACGGCCTCTTCGACTGCCCATAAGGGGCCGTTGTCTGCTGTGCCTTTTGTGGTGCTAGTGCCACCGCAGGCGCGCGCAGCGCGGTAGGGGATCTGTGGCACGCGGCTGGGTCGGTCGACGCGAGCTGGTGGCAGGTCGAGGCGGACGGAGGGCGCCTCTTCTTTGTGCGGGTCGCGGAAAAGGCCGCATCGTCGCGCTCTCCGCCGAGGCGAAAAAACAAAAACAAAAACCACCCCTCCCGCCACCGCCGCACCCACCACCACCGCTCCCGCCGCCACCGCCCTCTCCGCATGCGCCCTCACCACCTCCGCCCTCGTCACCCCCATCCTCGCCGCCTCCGCCCTCACTACCTCCGCCCGCGCCACCTCCGCCTTCGCCAACTACGCCATTGCCACCTCCGCCCTCACCACCTCCGTCCCCACCACCTCCGCCCTCACCACCCCCGCCATCGCCACCTCCGACCTCGCCACCTCCGCCCTCACCACCCCCGCCATCGCCACCTCCGCCCTCACCACCTCCGCCCTTACCACCTCCGCCCTCACCACGTCCGCTATCACCACCTCCGCTCTCACCACCTCCGCCATCGCCACCCCCGCCCTCGCCACCTCCGCTCTCGCCACTCCCGCCCCCACCACCTCCGCCCTCACCACCTCCGACCCCGCCACCTCCGCCCTCACCACCCCTGCCATCGCCACCTCCACCCTCACCACCTCCGCCCTCACCACCCCTGCCATCGCCACCTCCCCCCTCACCACCTCCGCCCTCACCACCTCCGCCCTCACCACCCCTGCGCTCGCGATCTCCCCCCTCTCCGCCTCCGCCCTCACCACCGCCGCCCTCACCACCTCCGCCCTTGCCACCTCCGCCATCGCCACCTCCGCCCTCACCACCTCCGCCCTCACCACCCCCACCCTCACCACCCCTGCGCCCTCCGCCCTCTCCGCCTCCGCCCTCACCGCCTCCGCCGCCGCGCCGGAATCGTCGTGGGGATCGGTGGACGTTCTCGTGATCGCGTGTGTCGGACGGGGGGGTCGCGGGCGCTGGTGGATGCGCGCGGTTGTGTGTACTACGCAATAGTACAGCATGCTCGCGGGTTGTGCATGATGGTGTTGACATGGCTGTCTTGTGCAGCCATATAATATTCATATTATATTTATATTGCATGCTTTAGATAGCTAGGTCTCGAGATCTATACATGTTTTCGACGTACGCAAAACCTCACGGCCTCGGAACACGAAGCCGCGACGATTATATCGTCGTACTGCCTCGTAGTACCGTGTACTACCATATAGTAGATGTTTTGGCCCCTGCTCCGCAGGCGTGAGAATGGTGGGCAGGGAGGCTGCGACAGGAGGGAGGGGAGGTGGGGTGGGTGAGAGAATGAGAGCGGACGACGGTGTGACAACACTGATGCATGCACGACCCTCCCCTCGTGCAACCCTCCCCGAGCGCGAAATGATTATGATTGAGGACGCAGACGCATGCCCGACCCTCCCCTCGTACAACCCTCCCCCAACGCGAAACGGATTGTGATCGAGGCACGCGAGGAGGGTGGCCCTCCCCCCTCTAAAACCCTCCCCCAGAGTGAAATGGGAGAATCTGAGTACAGGAAAGGGGGGGAGGGTGCCCTTAGACCCTTCCCCCCCCCGAAGTAGGCTGAAAATAGTGCTTCGGAGCCCCCCCAGGCTACCCTCCCCCCCGAGGAGGACCTATCACCCCCCAGTGTTTTCGTACAAGTGAGAGAGAAGAGAGAGAGAGTCTCTCTTTTCTCCCAGTAAGCTATAAGTACGTAATGCCATCACAAGTTTGGCAATCACTATCTTATCGCTGGCCAAACTTCTCAATCGCCAGCAAGCAAGGCGAGTGGCTGCGCGGGTGGCTGGCGGGTGGCTGCGCGGGTGGTTGGCGGGTGGCTGGTGGGTGGCTGGTGCGTGGGCGACTGCTCCGATGTCACTTCTGCCCTATTGCTAGCAGGTCCTGCCAAGTCAACGGGTGCTGCTAGTCCATCGTGTGTGCTTCCTGCCTCTTCCAGGACCCCTTCCACGAAAGCCGCGGCTGCGGAAAATGTCCTGGTCGGTTCACTTGCTCCTCCTTAGAACAGCATCGTCGTTCATGTGCTTCTGCGCGGCAGCGATCACTTTTGATGGGAGCGGTGCGGGAAACCGACTCGTGACCGGCCTCGAGCAAGATCTACTCAAGGAGCTCTATGCAGCATCTGCCGGCACAAAGGCAGTCGTGGTTGACGTCGGTGCCAACAACGGCGGCTGGTCCCTTGCGTGGGCGCAACACAAACGTCGTACTGCGCGTTTGCACAACAAGAACCTCGACATCATCATGTTAGAGCCACAGCCCCAATTTACAACACCTCTGACACTAATGGCGCAAGAGCATGGGTTTCGGTTTATTTCGGCGGCGGCGAGTGACGCAGAGGGAGAAATACCGTTCATGTCCATCGAGGGCTCTCGGAGCACCGAGGCGCACGCCGTCGTCTCCGGCCTCAGCAACACGGTTAATGACTCAGCACGGCCCGTGTGGGTGCGTTCGCTCGACCTGGCAGCTTTCTTCCGAGCTCAGCTGAGCGAGGGCGGGCTCAACCTGGTCAAGCTGGACGTCGAGGGCCTGGAGTTCAAACTGCTGCCATGGTTACTTGCGCAGGGCGCGCTGTGCGGCCGCGTGCGCTATCTGATCGTGGAGTGGCACGTTAATGCGGTTGACCCCACCGAGCGGCTCTCTGCACTCGCGCAACGCCTCGCCTTCAGCCAGATGTTGCGGAACGGCTGCGGGCGCTCGGCGCCGGTAGCTGTCTTCAACGATGACTATATGCCGAACAACGTTGCGATCCCCGTGCCCGGCCTGTCGAGGGTTCTGCTTGAGCACTCGTCGTGGGCGGGCAAGTCAATGGGTGGAATCCATATTTCAAGTACCACCGTGAACTTTGAGAATGCAGATCACAAGTTCTTCGCTGAGGCGCCGCGCGGGAACGAGGGTGAACTGACCAAGGCGAATTGTCAAGTACGCCGGCCGCGCTGTGAGGGCTCGTGCATCTACGAAAGGCTCGCCTGTGATGTGGAGTTGACGGAGGCGACGGTGAGACAAATGTGGAAGCACAGGCAGCCGGTTGTCCAGGCTGGCCTGATGCAAATGGGCAAGATCGACAATAGAACGCACGAGCAACACGTGGCACTCACGCAAGATCTCACAGCGTGTCACTCCTGCGCGCTCTATCGGCCGCTGCCTATGATCCTGGAGGATGCCACGGGACGTCATTACACTGGGCGGACCCCAGGCTAAAACTACACAGGCAAAGTTTCGTTGGAGGATACAGATGCAGTTTTTTTTAACAAGCTTGCTAGTCTTTACCTAAGCTCAAAAGGAAGAGCGTTAAAAAGTGGGTAGAAGTCATGAATCGACTGTTGGCCCATTCTTTCGCCATACAGGGGGGTGATCTTTGACTTGTACAGTTACACCCTAAACCAGCTGGAGCTCACACAAGTGCTCCTCTATTGGTGAGATTGCAGGACAATGAAATTGGGATCATGGAGCAGTGTGCGTAACGTGCTCGGATTTTTGAGCTTTGGTCCTTGAGCGGAGTAGCGGTTACGTATATACCATATTGTGGAATTTCCCGGTTATTTTGATTAATTTTGATTTGCAAACGAGTAGTATTGGGATGTGGTATTTGAAAGTGGTATTGATTTGTTTGATTTCCCTCGCCACAAATAACTTTGATTTCCCTCGCCACCAGCAACCACTCCAATCATCGCACACAGGTCACAGCGTCACACAAACCTCGGCAGTACCATACATACCTAGACTCTGGGCTAACGCTACTGTCAACAATGCGCAGAGCCGGAGCAAAACGTGCTGCGGCTGAGGCTCTCGATGAAAGTGGTGGCGCTTCCGCATCACCTTTCGTGTCCACTCCGCTCGAGGGCGCAGGGCGCGCAACGACAACACCATCGACCGTCGAGGTGCCGCCGGATATCCTCGCTTCTTTCAACGAAGTAGGCTCAGTGCCACGTGCATTCATTGGAAACATCGAGCGGGACGCATGAAGACCGGAGCGCGAATCCAAAGCGCACACCTAGGCCGTCGACCTCTTCGCCGTCTTCCGCTCTTGCGGCCCAAGCTCGAGATCCAAGAGCCCCAAACCGGAGGTGCGGAGGGTGGTGTTGAGCAGCTTGCAGCAGCCACGCAAGCAGACTTCGAGGCGCGCACCACGGAGATGGTGCTGACCAACCCTGGCACCGTCATCGAGTCGAGTATGGATAGGGCGGCAAAGACAATGACGAATCGAAGATCCGCCCCCCCCCCCGCGCTCTGACCGCAAAACCGGACTGGGCTCACGCCCAAATCTCGCAAACAACACATTTTTTAGGGGGGCAGCTGTGAGAATGAGAATATAAAACCCGTGTTTACTGTTGTCCACAAATTTTCGCACCGACTGCACTCACAGCTTATAAATGTACAACATACCTTTGTAGCACTTGCCGTCACTTGCGTTGTTGAAGGGTTGCTGCTTGCGCAGCAAGCACTCTCGCGGCCGCCCAGTGCTCCGGAGCTGGCGGCAGGCTGGGGCTGCAACGCGGGCGCATGAGCAACGAGCTCGAGGTATGTATGTATGTATGTATATTATATCGCGCGCGCAGCGACACCGATTTCACCGGACGAGAGACAAGTCCCAAGCCAAGTTCACCAAGCCGGCCGCTATGGTCAGGACCCGACCGTCAGTCCCATATGAGCGGTTCGTCCGCGTCGCGCACACCACTCGTCCAAACCGGGGGCCGCAGACTCGTTCTGCGCGCCAACGGCTGGTGACGCTGTGTTTTGCCCTTGAGCTAGTCCTTCCCCGGTCGCCTAGGCCTCTGCGCTGTCTGGCGGACGCCTGTATGCCATGCGGGCGGACCACGCTTGCGTGGATATGTGGCTGGCAGGCTGACCCACGCACGGGAAAGCTTCATGGGTTCGAGTCGTCGAACATTAAGCAGCGGAGGTGTGCCGAGGGGGACCGGGTGGCGGTAAGTCGTCGTCGCCCGGCGCTGCTTGCAGCACCATGGCGATGGCGCTAAGAGGTTCCTCGTTTCCGCGCCCCCCCCGCAAGGCCCGCGATACACACATCGTCCCCGCCGTCGTCGCCGTCCCCGCAGCCGCCGCCGCCGCCGCCCTTGCCGCCGTCGTCCATCTCATCGGCGCGGCCGCCCTGCGAGGCGGAAGCCGAGCTAGGGCCGGCGCTCCCAGGCTGATGCCTGCTACCTTGGCCGTGCGCAGCTCCTGCGAGACGATGCCAAGCAACGGCAGCGGTGGCGGCGGCCGCCGCCACGCCCACCGCGTGCGACATGTATTTTGCGCAAGAGGATGGAATGTCACGGCGCGCGGAAGGTTTTCGGTCGTTGACCTTTTCCTTTCCGGACGCCCTGCCCGAAGCCGCCGAGCGTCCCGAAGTCAAGCAAGCGCAGGTCGCAATTCTTCTCCCGCGCAAACCGCTATAGCCTCCCTTCCCTTCTTGTAGGGGGCCGTCACAGGTGCCTCCGCCTCCGCCTCCCCCTCACTCTCCTCCTCCTCCTCTTCCGCCGCCTCCCCCCCCTTCCCCTTTCTGGCCGTGGCCATGCAGCATGCCCTATCACTAAGTCGAGCAGCTCGCGGTGTTGCCGAAGGCGACAAAAGCCCCCATTCCAGCCGAGCCGGTCGCCACCCTTGCACGCAAGCGAGCTTGTAAGTTTCAAGTCGCCAATGAGGCGCACATGCCCTTTGCCATACCGCACATGCTTAGGACCGAACCCGTCTGGGAGCAGCGGCACTAGACCGCGCCGCCAGCGGGGCGAGAGCACCAGCCGACAACCTGCCGACATGGCAGTTGCGATGGCGCTTTCACACACACCACACACACACACACACACACACACACACACACACACACACACACACACACACACACACACACACACACACACACACACACACACACACACACACACGTTAGCTCTTAGGTAGGTAGGTAGAAAGGTGAAGAACAGCCAGGCTCGGAAGACTGGACACCAACGCGGTATGGGTGGACGCCGGACAGATAATGACGACACGCACGAGCGACACACAGACACAAACAAGCTCACAAGACACACAGCCAGCGGGCTGCCACACACCCTGAGTTGGCGTACACATAACTCAAGGCCACATGCACCTGCCCCAGCTCTTGAGAAAAGAAACACCGACATCTTGACGGAGGGCATTGAGCGCGAATGTCGCTCGCTCGCCTAGCTCGCCTCCCCTGTCGAGGTCAGCGCCTCCGCTGCATGTCTTCGCTGTGCCCTCTCACCGAGTGCGGCCACCCCAATCTTCAACGTCGAAGAAGCTCCAAGCGCGGTAAGCGACGCCCAAGGCGTCAGCGCTTCGGGCGGACGCTTGGGCGACTATGGCCTACTTTTATCCCCGGCCAACTTGGTAGGGCCCTGTCGGTCAAATTACATCCGCAGGCCTGGAACTCCTACTTCCGGGGGGCTGCCACCCCCCTCCTCGGGCCGCCGTATAACACCAAGTTCCCGGGCAGCGCGTGCGGCCCCCGGGGTGGTAACGGGGGTCCCAAACATT